ACAGAACAGCCCCTCACAACAAAGAATTATGTGGCCTAAAATGTCAATCATGCTAAAGATGAGAAACCCTGGCTAGGTAATGAGCTACATAATCTATCATTGTTCTCTCTTTTAGAGACTACTAGAATGTTTACAGCTGTCTGATAACCCAGGGTTTGTTCTTCCTTCCTCATTTGTCACTTTTCTCCCCACTATATCTCAGAATGCTGTAAGACATTCCAGCTAATAATGAACATTATTCTAGAAAAATATCAGAAATGCCAATTTCAATATCTTTCTAGTAGGTAAAGAGTTGTACTATAATATAAATACTGCATTAAATTGAGGCTCAAGTAGTATTTTATATTTAAAAAATATAATGCTTCTTACCTTAAATAGACAACGGCATATATATTCATATACCATGTGTTTTAATAAGCTGATAAGAGACTGGATTCTCTGTTCTGTATTTTCAGAATCCTGTAGATTAAAATTTGAAAGTTGAAAACTCACTAGGAAATTTACAAACATTTAAAAGGTACCCCATTGTTTAATTGCTCTTATAAATTGTTCCTCCAGACTTAAAGCTGATACTGGAACAAGTATCTCTGCCCATTGAACTCAAGGGACAAAACAAGTAAGTGCACTGAATTTATACACTAATATAAAAGAAAAAAATTGATATATTTTTCTTTAATATCTAAAGTTAAAACTTTCAATAAATGAAATTACAATCAATTCCTAATAATACAAGTTGAATTTCACCATACCACTTTGATTTCTACTGGCACTATAAAGACCGTCTATTAATATATCAATCTAGGTTAAAGCCATTTTAATTATTTGTATTATAAATACCAGTCCAGCCCCAAAACAACATGACAAGAACCACCCTATAAAGAATTTTCTCATCCTCAATGTGGGAATCTTAAATCGTGTGCTGCAGGCTGAATAAAGATGAACAATAACTTTGAAACTGATGCTGTAAAAACTCATATACAACTTTAGTTTTTGATCAGATTTTGCATTTC